TTGGGGAATATTTTCAGCAGTTGATTAATCCACATGTGGAGAGTGTGTGTGAGTCTAAAACATCTGTACGTGTGTGTGTGTGTGTGTGTGAGTCTAAAACATCTGTACGTGTGTGTGTGAGTCTAAAACATCTGTACGTGTGTGTGTGTGTGTGTGTGTGTGTGAGTCTAAAACATCTGTACGTGTGTGTGTGTGTGTGTGTGTGTCTAAAACATCTGTACGTGTGTGTGTGAGTCTAAAACATCTGTACGTGTGTGTGTGTGTGTGTGTGTGTGTGTGTGTCTAATTAAACATCTGTACGTGTGTGTGTTCTCACCTCAACAAAACTCAGCAGTTTTCCTGTTGACAACTCGAAGCTCTTTTTGGCCGCTTCACTCTTCCGTAGCTGACACTGGAGGACGGCCACTCTCTTCTTCATCTCGTCTGTTTCCTCCTGAGATCAAAACAACCATGGAAACATTTCAGTCGGTGAAAATCGTCTTCACCAGAGTGAAAACAAACATGGAGGCTGTCTCCGTCTCTGAGCTTCACAAAGTTAAATGTTTTCATTGTTAAAACACCAGAAGAAGAAAAGCTGTTCGATGATTAGTCTCCAGAAACAACAGGGTGGAACTGTGACAGCGCCCTCTGCAGAGACACGTGGGGATTCATTCTGAGAAAAAACAAAGACCACGATATCACCTCCACCATTTACCACTGCACCGATTCTACTACTGCACTCAAATTGGAGATGATTCATTTACTTTATTCCTGGAGGAGGTGGAGACGAGTCCTTGTCGATATTTACAGTCCGTTGGTAAAGTGAAGTCACCTTAGTGGTAGACGGCGGCTGCTCCACCCTCTTAGTCTTCAGCTCGGCGATCTCGGCCTCCAGCAGGTGGATCACCTCCTCGTAGTCCATCTCCATCCCTCTCGCTTGCTTCTGAGCCGCCTCGGCCAACTGGATCCGAGTCCTCAGAGCCCGACTCTCCTCAGCTCCAAGTTTTACTTCCTGTCAGGATGGAGGGATGGAGCAAGGGAGGACAGAGGAGAAGAAGAAGAGAAATTCATTGTCAGAGAACGCTCAAAGCTCAGAAATAAGATAAACCATCGTAGTTAAAATATCAGAAAACCTGGACTTGATTCAGACCATGAGGTTGGTGACCTTTGACCTTCGAACAGACAGACTGACTCTGACCACTGGGTGACAAATAAATGACATCACCACTCCTCAGGTGGTGTCACATGACTCAGACCTACAGCAGGTCTCACCTGTCTGACTTTACTAAGCTCCTCCTCCATCTGATGGTGAACTCTCTGAGACTCGATCAGCTGGTCCTGGAAACACAACAACACACACCAGCTCATCCTGTGTGTGTGTGTGTGTGTGTGTGTGTGTGTGTGT